GGCTTAATCGAAAATGTTCTTGTAATGAGAGATTTCTGGGCTTTGCCATGGCTTGGTAATTGGGTTTTCTGAGCTTAATTTGTTTGCTTTAGTCAAGGCTAACTGGCAGCAGTTTGGATTTTGAATTCCTGGGTGTCTTGGACACTTTAAACACTAAAGTGCTGCCTTACCTTGGAAACCTTGTATGTGTCTATATTGTCAACAGCTCACACATCTGCTTTCTTTCTGAGTTGTGCTTTCTGCCCTTGACATTGCCCTGGCTTCTCTAGAAGAGTAGGCTTGGGATGACGCATACCAAGGACTATTCGAATAGTGAGTAAGGAGGTCTTTGGAGTTGGTCTCTGCAAAAGAGGCATACTGTTGGTATTAGAAAAGAGCTGGGCCCATGAAACACAAGGCAGCTGAGTGTTGGCATGTTCAGGGAACTTTCAAATTAACTGCATTTCTGACACACAGTTGCTTCAGTCCAAACAGTCCATGTTTATCCATGGCATGTGGTCACACATGATCAAAAATACTTATCTGGGTCTTATCAGTTTTTCTACTGTCTCTCTCTGGGCTCCAGTTACTAGAAAGCCATTTGCATTCCCTTTTTAGAATAAAAATCAAAACAATGGTCATTTCTTTCTATTACAGTTTTTATAAAAACACAGGCCAGGCGCAGAGGCTCATGCTTGTAATTCCACCACCTTGGGAGGCTGAGACAGGAGGATCACTTGAGCCCAAGAGTTCAAGACCAGCTCTGGCAACATAGTGAGACCTGTCTTAATAAAAGGAAGAAAAAAATTAAAATTAGTAGTCATAGTGGCATGCGGTGCCTGTAGCCGCAGCTAATTAGGAAGCTAAGGTGATAGAATGCTTGAGCCCAAGAATTTAAGGTTGCAATGAGCTATGATCACACCTCTGTACTCCAGTCTGGGCAACAGACTGAGACCCTGTCTTAAAAAAAAAAAAAATAGTGTTATGAAGGTATAAATATGATTTAGCTTTCCTTTGTTTCTTCTTCTGAGATTCCCAGCTTTGGAAACTGATCAGACAACAAACACTTTCCTTTGAAAGTGGTAGAGTTGCAAAGAGGATGAAGAGGATGAAATGTGTTTGGCGTCAGTGACTCTTACATGGGAACAGGGGCAGGAGAGGGGCTGATGGAACAGCACCTCTATCTGTATGCTGGGCTCTGTTCTTTCAGACCCATGCCTTTCTTTTCACACTGAGAACAGATGGCAACCAGACATTGAGTGGAGGGGTCTGTTCCTTGTGATCCTTGGGGATTTTGCATTCAGTTTAGCAAAAAGTCATCAAAACGCAAAGAGAAATGAGCCTACAGCCTGTTCACAATTATGCAGGACTTGTTTGGCATTCATTGTGCTGACAGATTTAAACACTTTTGCAGATATTGAATGATAACAGCATTTATTTGGCAAGACAACATTGATAGCCGTTCTGAGGCATCTGCATTGGAGTCATTTTCTTCATTTTGGAGTACACTTAATGGTTCAATTTATTGTATATCAGTTAACTTGCAGAAAAACCCAGTCATCTTATTAGAGAAACTGAGAAAAACAGAAAGGAGATTTTTTTCCTCAGCAAATTGTCATTTTCATTATGATGAAATGGGGCAACTTCTGTACTATTGTAATGACAACTCTGTGGATGTTTTTAGTAATGGTTTATTCCCCTGTCTTTCTAAGCATTGTTATAAGTAGGATTCTGCAGGCTGTTTCTTCTTCAGTTTGTATTTATGTCGTCTGATTTGTTAAATGTTTGCTGCTTCCTGGATGCATTGAGTTGCAAGTGCAGGATTTTTTTTTTTCCTAAAGAGATGTTTATGGGAACTTTTTCTGGGGGGTTTCAGAGTTAAGATCTAAAAAGAATTCAGAAAGTCTTAAGCAGAAGAGTAGGAAATAATCCGAATTTGAGCTTCTTAACTTTAAAAGGCCTTCAAAAGAAATTGTTTAGGCTATAAATAACAAGTTACATGTGGAAAAAGAAAGGGTGATTCTGGTGCCGATTCTATATTCATAATAAGAAATTTCAAGCAGTAACATAAGGCATTCTGATGGTTGAGTCTCGCGTTCTGAGCAAATAAGACTCTTTGATTTAGTAGAATATGAGTTGAAATCATCCATTTTCCCACCCAAACCAGGAATCATGATTTTAAATTAAAATATTAGGAAACTTTGAACTACTTACAAAAAAACACCTAAATATTCACTTTATTCTTGAACCCAAAATAATTTGGTCCAGTGTTTTTCAGACTATTTATTTGAGACAGGATCTCACTCTGTCACCCAGGCTGGAATCCAGTGAAGTGGTCATAGCTTACTAGAGTCTTGAACTCCTCTGAGGTTTAAGCAATCCTCTTGCCTCAGCCTCCCAAGTAGCTGGGACAATAAATGTACGCCACCTGGCTAACTTTTAAAAATTTTTATTTGCTTATTTGCCAGGCACAGTGACTCAGGCCTATAATCTCAGTACTTTGGGAGATTGAAGCAGGCAGATCACTTGAGGTTGGGAGTTCAAGACTAGCCTGACCAACATGGAGAAACCCCATCTCTACTAAAAGTACAAAATTAGCCGGGCATGGTAGCACATGCCTGTAATCCCAGCTACTCAGGAGGCTGAGGCAGGAGAATCACTTGAACCTGGGAGGTGGAGGCTGCAGTGAGCCAAGATTGCACCATTGTGCTCCAGCCTGGGCAACAAGAGCAAAATTCGATCTCAAAAAAAAAAATTGTTTGCTAATTAAAAAAAATATTTTATATATTTTTAGAGATGGGGTCTTGCTAAGTTCCTCTGGCTGGCCTCAAACACCTGGACTCAAGTAATGCTTCTTTCTCAGCCTCCATAGTAGCTTGGTTTACAGGTGCAACCCACTGTGCCAGGTCATTTTTTTTTTTTTTTTTTTTGAGATAGCATCTTGCATTGTCACCCATGCAGGAGTGCAGTGATGTGATCATAGCTCACTGTAATCTTGAACTCCTGGGCTCATGCAATCTTCCTGCCTCAACGTCCCAAGCACTAGGATTATAGGTGTGAGCCACTATGTCCAGCCTAGACTTTTTTAAAGTAGCAGAATTGGTTTTCCAAGACAAAGCTTATCCAGAAGTCTAAAAAATAAAATTAGTAAAAGAGGAGCTGCCCTGGGTAATTCACTAAGGGGAAATCAGAACCTGCCTTTCACTGAGGCACCTCTGGGATTACAGGCATGTGCTGCTGTGCCCAGCCCTAAACTATATTTCTTTATTTCTCCTTTTTTTTTTTTTTTTTTTTTGATGGGGGAGATGGAGTCTTGCTGTGTCTCCCGGCGGGCTGGAGTGCAGTGGCACAATCTTGGCTTACTGCAGTCCCTGCTCCTGGGTCCAAACAATTCTCCTGCCTCAGTCTCCTGGGTAGCTGAGACTATAGGCATGTGCCACCATGCCTGGCTAATTTTTGTATTTTAGTAGAAATGGGGTTTCACTGGATTGCCCAGGCTGGTCTCAAACTCCTGAGCTCAGACAATCTGCCTGCCTCGGCCTCCCAAAATGCTAGGATACAGGCGTAAGCCACTGCACCGAGCCTAAACTATGTATCTTTAATACTATTCAGTAATATAGATTCCTTAGTTACACAAATAGCCATTAGTAATTGTTAAATTTTATTTACATAACTACTATAACCTGTTTCTTCGTTGGTAAAATGCTAATAACAGCTCTGGGCTAGGTGCGGTGGCTCACGCCTGTAATCCTAGCACTTTGGGAGGCAAAAGCAGGCAGATTGCTTGAGGCCAGGAGTTCGAGTCCAGCCTGGAAACATAGAAAGACCATGTCTCTACTAAAAATAGAAATAAAAATCAACCTGGTGTGGTAGTGCACGCCTGTAGTCCAGGATACTAGGGAGGCTGAGGTGGAAGGATTACTTGAACCCAGAAAGTTGAGGCCACAGTAAGCCATGATCATGCCACTACATTCCAGGTCTGGGTGACAGAGCAAGACCCTGTCTATCTATATATATATATATACAATGTGTATATATATAATGTATATATATATATATATATATGGAGGCCGAGATGGGTGGATCACTTGAGCCCAGGAGTTCGAGACTAGCCTGGGCAACATAGGGAGACCCCATCTCTACAAAAAAATGTAAAAATTAGCCAGGTATGGTGACACTTATATTACTTGGAAGGCTGAGGCAGGAGAATCACTTGAGCCTGGAGGGTCAAGGCTGCAGTGAGCTGTGACCACACCATTGCATTCCAGCCTGGGTGACAGAGTGAGACCCTGTCTGAAAAAAAAAAATTATGATCAGAAAGCCAACCTATGTAAGATAACCTTTTCTTCATTGATTTATTCATTTATTTGTTAAACAATTATTAAATGCCTACTGTGTGTCAGACCCTGGTAATAGGCCTTACTTTTCTCCTCTATAAAAGTAGAGGCCAATAATGTTAATAATAACAATGCCATTCTGTCATTCTTATGGTATTCTTATAAGATTGAATGGGCACCTTGTACATACCTGAGGTTATATTGTAATTATTTACTATAGAATGTTAAGTTCCCTAAGAATGAGACATTATATTATGTTCATCCTGTTATTTCCTAGTACCATAGTAAAGTGGTTGTTCTTTACCATATTAAATCATCAAACTATGTCAAAATGCTTTTTAAACTACAAAAAGATGTATAAATACAAGATCATATATTCCATAGTCATGGAAATAGACAATGTGGTGGTTTTCAGACTGTTTCTTAGAACCTAGGGTTCCAGAGGTGTCTTAGGGACAGTCTATACAGTTCCTGAGGTACACAAGGGAGAAGTAGAGATTCTGGACCCTATGCCAGCATAATCAATTAGAACAACCCTATTTATTTTACTTGTTTTGCTGTGAAAAATGTTCGAAGAGTATTGTCTGATTTGTGTGTTTTTAAGCCATCATAATTTTGTCCTGTGATGATTTGTATAATCCATTGTCCTTTATGATATTGACTTTTCCCATATCCATTTAACAGACAGATGTGCTGGTCCTGAGCTGTGATCTGATAACAGATGTTGCCTTACATGAGGTTGTGGACCTGTTTAGAGCTTACGATGCATCACTTGCTATGTTGATGAGAAAAGGCCAAGATAGCACAGAACCTGTTCCCGGTCAAAAGGGGAAAAAAAAAGCAGGTAAGGAAGACTGGAGTTTGTTTTGTTTGTTGGGTTTTCATAATTATTATTGTCACTCATGTTTTCCCTGAAAAAACATTTAAGAATCTACTATACACCACAGATACTGTGCTAGGAGTTGGTGACATAAAGTCAAATAAGATACAGTCCCTGAGTGGAAAATGCTTATACTGATTGATTAGGTTCTTTAATGTCCTTTCATATGCAGAGAGGAGCATTCAGAACTATTTGCATTGTATTTAAGGCTCAAATAATTGAATGTGTATATTTAAGAAACAAACAAACAAAAAATCTAATTTAAAATTAACTTTTAAAAATAGACCAGGCTCAGTATCTCATGCCTGTGATCCCAGCACTTTGGGAGGCCAAGACAGGCAGATTACCTAAGATCAAAAGTTTGAAACCAGCCTGGCTAACATGCTGAAATCCTGTCTCTACTAAAAATAGAAAAATTAGCCAAGTGTGATGGCGGCATCTAAAAAAAATAAAATAAAGTTAAATAAATAAATAAACTTCAATTACAGATTTAATTAGGTACGTTTAAAGAATTAAAGTTACGGCTGGGCGCAGTGGCTCACACCTGTAATCTCAGGACTTTGGGAGGCCAAGCAGGCAGATCATGAGGTCAGGAGTTTGAGACCAGCCTGGCCAATGTGGTGAAACCCCATCTCTACTAAAAATACAAAAATTAGCCAGGCATGGTGGCACACACATGTAATCCTAGCCACTTGGCAGGCTGAGACAGGAGAATTGCTTGAACCCAGGAGGCAGAAGTTGCAGTGAGCCAAAATTGTGCCAACTGTACTCCAGCCTAGGCGACAGAGCAAGATTTCTTCTTCGAAAAAAAAAAAAGGAATTACTGTCACAAATTTAGTATGGCTGGTTCTTTTGAATGCTTCAGTCACCCTAAATGACCAATAAATGTGATAGTTGTTAATCCTGCTTATCTTCCTAGGATTATAACATTCTTATTTTGATACTTATTTTCCTAGGATTCTAGTAGTCCTTTCATGGATCTTAGTTTTTCCTGAATGATGTATTTTTTTCCTTGAAGTTTTCCTCTGGAATGATGTATTCTTTAGGTTTTGCCTTGCCAGCATTATGTAACCCATTATCTTGTCATTATTACATACTGGCATATTCTGTTGTAATTATTAGACTATGTATAGCATATTAATATCTTACTATTATTAATAGAGCCATTTAGAGCCTTCATACTTAGGATTTGAATAAACTGATTAATATTTTTAGCTCTCCTCTTTAGGACATTTGGTTAAATTATAATTTTCCAGTATAGCATTGAAACTCGTTTCTAGTTGCTTTTTGTGGTTCAGATGGTCACTGGTACAGATTAATTGTGGGATATTTTTCTACATTATCATTACGTAATGGTACTTATGCTGATCAATCTTTCTGTTCTTTATATAGTTTCTGCTTTTGAAAGTTCTGGTTGACTTACAATTCCCTATATTCGTTCTTTTCTGCCTACACAGGTAGAAGCAAATATATATCCAGATTTTATAAACAGATATATGTTTTATAATGAATTTTTTGTTTCCTTTGTCTGTACTCTATATATAAAAATCATTTTTAAAAATCAACTTATTACTTGTCATTAGAACTTTTCTTTAAATTTTCTGCCATTTCATAGGCATTGATAGAACTTTTAGTTATCTCTTAAGTATCATTATAAATGCACAGATTCACACTTCCCTTTTATTATATATCAATAGTTTATAATTATATAAATTTATGAGTTACAAAGTGATGTTATAATTTATACATATAATGTGTAATAATTAAATCAAATGGGTTAACATATCCATCCGTCAAATACCAAGATTTTTCATGGTGAGAACATTTGAAATTTACTTTCTTAGCAATTTTGAAATGTATAATACTCTATTGTTAACAATATTTACAACATAACTCTATTTTAAATTAACTGTAACTATTACCTACAACCATTGAAAAATATTTTAATATTTAAATTGTCAGTTTGGCCAGTGGAAGTTCCTTTAAGCTGGATTCTTTATCCTCTTTGAAAATGTATGATGTATACTGGTAACTTTCTAGAGTTGGAATGTGAGTATGGGAGGCAGGGAAGCGGATAGGAATGGAGACATCGGATGAAAGAGTTTGAATTCTATGCCCAAAACAGTGGGGAGCTGTTGAAGTAAACAAGATAATGTCATAATTAGATTACGTTCATGTTTTAAGAGGATCTTTCTTTCTTCTTTTTCTTTTTCTTTCTTCCTCTTTCTTTCTTCCTTTCCGTTTTTTTAAATTTTATTTATTTATTTTTTTTATAATAAAGACGGGGTTTCACCATGTTGGTCAGGCTGGTCTTGAACTCCCAACCTCAGGTGATCTGCCCACCTTGGCCTCCAAAGTGCTTGGATTACAGGCGTGAGCCACTGCGCCTGGCCTTTCTTTCTATTTTTTTTTTTTTTTTTTTTTTGAGATGGAGTTTCACTCTTGTTGCCCAGGCTGGAGTGCAATGGCATGATCTCAGCTCACTGCAACCTCCGCCTCCTGGATTCAAGCCATTCTCCTGCCTCAGCCTCCAGAGTAGCTGGGATTACAAGCACCCACCACCATGCCTGGCTACGTTTTGTGTTTTTAGTAGAGACAGGGTTTCACCATGTTGGTCAGGCTGGTCTCGAACTCCTGGACCTCATGATCTGCCTGCCTCAGCCTACCAAAGTGCTAGGATTACAGGCGTGAGCCACCACACCCAGCCCTCCTCCTTTCTTTCTTTCTCTTTCCCTCTCTTTCTTTCTTCTTCCTTCCTTCCTTGCTTCTCTCTTTCTCTCTCTCTCTCTCTTTCTTTCTTTCAGCAAGGGTCTTACTCTGTTGCTGAGGCTGGATTTCAATAGCTCAATCTTGGCTCACTGCAACCTCCACTTCCCAGGCTCAAGCAATCCTCCCACCTCAGCCTCCCAAGTAGCTGGGACTATAGGCACGCACTACCATGCCTGGCTAACTTTTTGTATTTTTTGTAGAGACAGGTTTCACTATGTTGCCCAGGCTGGTGTCGAACTCCTGAGTTCAAGCAATCTTGAGGCAAGCTCAAGCCTGCCTCAGCCTCTCAAAGTGCTGGGATTACAGGTGTGAGCCACCACACTTGGCCTCTTTCTTTCTTTCTTTTTTTAAAGAGACGGGGCACAATGGCTCAGGCCTTTAATCCTAGCACTTTGGGAAGCTGAAGCAGGTGGATGGCTTGAGCTCAGGAGTTTGAGACCAGCCTGGGTAACATGGTAAAACTCCATCTCTACAAACAATTTTTTAAAAATTAGCTGGGCATGGTGGCATGTGAGCCTGTAGTCCCAGCTACCTGGGAGGCTGAGGTGGGAGGATTGCTTGAGCCCACGATGTCAAGGCTGCAGTGAGCCATGATCATGCCACTGCACTCCAGCCTGGGTAACTGAGTGAGACTCTATCTCCAAAAAAAAAAAAAAAAGAGAGAGAGAGAGATTAGGTCTTGCTGTGTTGCCCAGGCTGGTCTCAAACTCTTGACCTGAAGCAGTCCTTTCACCTCAGCCTCCCAAGTAGCTGCTGTTACAGGTACCAGCCATCAGACCTGGGTCAAGTTTTCATTCTTTTTTTATTGTTTTTGAGACAGAGTCTTGCTCTGTTGCCCAGGCTGGAGTGCAATGATGTAATGTCGGCTCACTGCAACTTCTGCCTCCTGGGTTTAAGCGATTCTCCTGCCTCAGGTTCCTGAGTAGGTTGGATTACGGATGCCCGCCACCACGCCTGGCTAGTTTTTGTATTTTTAGTAGAGACAGGCTTTCACCATGTTGGCCAGGCAGGTCTTGAACGCATGACCTTGTGATCCACCCACCTCAGCCTCCCAAAGTGCTGGGATTACAGTGTGAGCCACCACACCTAGCCTAGTTTTCATTCTTAGCATGAAATTTTGAACTCCTCAATATCCGTGTTTTGTTATATTTGAAGGCTAAGGTTCACCTAAATAACTGAGTTTTAAATTCCCCCCGTAGAATGCTATGCATTTCAATCATAAGCATTTTTTAAAGAATCCTAAGCTTTTCAGATTATATATTTGGCATGCCTCTTGGCTGCTGTTGTGTGCCAAACAGTCTGCAATCCACTTTCCCAGATAGTGTTTAATGGACTAAACTTCTAGACCCAACTTCCTGAAATGCTATTCTTACTAACTTATAGGGGAATGGCTAATGTCTAGATGTTTCTGAAGCCACTTTTCTTCCCCTTGCCACTTTCTTCTCAGATTTATGGGAGATGTAGGTACTAAAGAGGGCAGGATCAAATTCACATTTAGGCTTTTTGGAGTATTTGTTTCATGCTGCAAGTCTTTACACAGCTTCCTTGCCTGAAATGCTCTCCAGTCCCTTTCTCCTCCCAACACATATATTCCAAATCCAGTTTAGCCTTCAAGTTATTTTCTAAGAAAGGCCTTTCTTGACCTTTTAACATAAGGTATGTCCTTTTGTTTGCCTACATATATCAGCCTGCTGTCTTATTTACTCTTTCCCCTACTGGACTATAAGCTCTATGAGGGAATGGATCATTTCTGTTTTATTTATTTTATTCCCAGCACTTGGCCCAGTTATGGCCCATGGTAAGCAATCAATAAATATTATTGAATGGCCTGCTTATAAAGGCAGCTCTTCTCGCCCCCCCGCCCCGAGGTAAGTGAAGATGGACCTGAGCACCAGCAGTTTAAAGTCCTAAAGATGATAGTCTGAGCAGTAGTTGGATTCATGAGTAGGTATTACAAGAGTATATGAGCTTGTAATGCTTTTAGCAATATGGATCTAGCAGACTGATACTAACTACATTGCCTATTAATTTTAGTTTAGAAATGATTTTGAGATTTTTAGCTAAATACCTAGTGCTGTAACATTATTGTTAAGAGCACAAGGTCTAGAGTTCAGACTGGGTTTCAGTGCTCAAAAGCTGTGGGATCTTGGGCAAATTACCTTGATCTTCATGAATTTCATTTTCCTCTGTTGCAA